AAAAGCATGGGAGTTTTTATTAGAGAGTATGAGAATGACTACAGTTTGGAGCATGCAGGAAATGAGCAGCCCATGGAAGATATTAAAGTAGAAGCGCAAAACCTGAGGAGACTGAAGGGAAAGTTTTGGGAGGTGTAGGCAGAAAGGAAGGTGAAACATCAGATGTTTGCCCAACATTCACTCTTCCCTGGGAGAATAGATGAGAAACCTTATTCTTCTGTGAAATGGCCTACTTTCTAGCTTTTGGTATCCAGAGCTCATACCAGTACTACTTAGGTTATAAGTAAGCTGTTTTTTCAATCACTGGCTTCTCTAAACTAGCCTGAGAATTTCATTACTGTCTAATTAGCTCTGTCCAATAGAATGATAACATATAACACGTCACTTAAATTTTCCTAGTAGCTAAAAATTAAAAAGGACAAAATAGATTGAGTTTAATAATAAATTTAATATAGATAACTAAAATATTATCATTTTGATGTGAAAATAGTATAAACAGTTACTAAAGAGGTATTTTACTCTTTCTTCATATGAATTTTCTTTGGTACCAGGGATCAAACTCGGGACCTTGCACTTGTGAGGCGGGCAGTGGAACCACTGAGCTAAATCCCTGGCCCATCTGCTGTGCATTTTACACTCCCAGCACATCTCAGTTCAACTACCACATTGCTGGTGTTCATTGGCTATCATTTTGGATAGTGCAGGCCTACAAGACAGTTATAGAGGGAAATGTTTCCAAAATTCTAAATGATGAACAAAAATTTGGAACCCAAACTAAAAATTTATTTAACTTTCTACCTTTATTTCCCCTTTTCTGAAATGTGAGAGGTTGGACTAAGCATTCCATGTGTCTAGAAAATGAACTAAATCAACACTATCCTACAGAATTTTTTATAGTTATTCACTACTTTATCACTGTCAGATTCAATTCAGAATATATATTTTGAACTCTAGTAAGTACTAGAGTTGAGATTCAAACCAAGGTCTATATCAAAAAGCTTTTGTTTTCCCCACTTCCTCTAAATCTCAGGAGTTTTTCCATCTCAAGGAAGGAGAGAATTAATCACATTTACACAGCAGCTTCATTATTGAATATAATAGCCCTACATTGATTACTCTCATGAGGTAGATAGTTTAATGATTTATTTTCCTCATTCTCTTCCTGGGCCACAAGACTTTGTATTAATGTTACTGATCTCAAAGTCTGCTTTGACCAATCCCACGATTTTCCTTTTCCTTTGACTTTCCTGTTAGTTTACAGTTAGCACAGTTAGAAAGTAGTTTTGGAGTAATTCAAACAGACTGACTCCAAGTCCTTCAACTATAAGAAGCCTCAGATTTCAAGAAATAATTTGTAGTGAGAAAGACAGTAAATGGGTATTTTACCTAATGCCCAAGGTAAAGACTGTCTTCTGAAAGAGGAGGCTGCCAACTGGTGACTTGTGTAGTAGGCAGATCAAAAGGACATCTTCACACTATTTTCCCTCTTTTTGGTCAAAAGAGTAAATACCTTAAAATTGGGAGATTTTACAATAAATTATAGATTTTCAATTTTTCTTAAAAAAATGAAAACAACTGGGTTTGCTGGCACATGTCTATAATTCCAGTTACTAGGGAAGCCGAGTAGTTTGAGCCCAGTTTGAGCCCAGCTTAGGCAAATTAACAAGGTCCTGTCTCAAAATAAAAAAAAGAAATAAAAGGCTGATAGTGCAGTTCAAGTGGTAAAGCACTTGTGTAGAGTGTGTCAGATCATGGGTTTAATCGCCAGTACAAAGGAGAAAGGGGAGGGAGGGCTAGGGATATAGCTCAGTGGTGCCTCACCTGCCTGGCAAGCTCAAGGTTCTGAGGTACAAAGAAGGAGGAGGAGGAGGAGAAAAAAAAGATAAAGGAAAAAGGGGAGGGGGAAAGTGCCTGTAAACTGAATTCACATCCCTTATGAATTGTCTAGTTGCTGCTTTCCTGAGATGGTGTATGAAGTATGCCTTTGCTCCTATCCCCAGCGTGCACCTCTGATCACAGATTCTGGGAGAAATTTCAAAGGCATTTTTTCACAAAGTTGTGATCTTAAAAAACAGAGGGGGTTTATACAACAAATCAGCACCTGTAGGAGAGTAAACTTACAAAAGGAGAAGGAGATACAGATAAGGATGGTTATAGAAGGGAGATAGTTGCAGCTGGTGGTCATTTAGTTACCGTCAAAGGCCAGCTATGCTAAAAATCATCCGGAAGCATAGCCCACTCTTAGATTCAGAAGTAGTAAAGACATACATCATGTGATCTTCAGACCATAGTGTGGGAGGTCTTAGCTTGTCCTTAGATCAAACCTGAGGCTGAGCCCACTGTAATAATAATAAAAATAACTTGAACTTCTCACCCATAACAAGCACAATTTTTTAATCTGATTTTCAAGAAGTCCTTGCAGACATTTATCAAGTAATATATCTTTTCTTCCATGGTTTGCTTTATATAAATTACTGAATTAGGGATTACTGGATTACATGTTCTCCTTAGCTCGGTCATTATTAGAAATTTTAGTATATTGTCCTCTTGTTGCTTGCTGGTCACATTTTCAGTCTGGTTCACTCTTATTTTCATTTCATGTCAGACAAGTTGACAAGTGCCAGACTTTCTTATGCCTTTGTACTCCGTCCCTTTCTTTTTTCCTTTCAATTCTTTTGTAACTATCAACATTTACAAAACCTATCTGCCTTGCCATTGGAATGGCAGGGGCAGGAATGAATGGGTTTGTTTGTGTTTTTTATAACTTGAAGGAATAAGAAACAATCTCATTTGTTTGTGAGGAGCTATCTTCTTTTGTAAGCAGTGTATAATATTGATTCGATGATTGAGTTTTTAAATGTAATTCTAGATTGTTGAAGACTTTATTAAATTAAATAATTGTTGATTTATACGCTGCTAACAAGATAACTTTTTAAGGATGAGTATGTAGCTCAGTGGTAGAATCTTGTCTGCCATGTATGAGGTCCTGGGTTCTATTCCTATGACCACAAGAGAAAAAAAAAATACTAGCACTTTTTCTGTTTTTCTTTTTCCTAGCAAGACCTTGGAAATGTCAATGTGTTAAATTGAATTTTGTTGTGTAGAGTGGACATAGACTGATTGTAGACACAATTGTGAAGTGAATAAAGTCAGCCCTCTTTGCCTCCTGTCTGTTACATAGTCTTTTTCCTCATTCTAACTGTTGAGGGTGTTTGAGTCCTTTCTTAATGGTATATTCTGAGGTCAAGTTTTTGGCTTTTAGTATGGTAAGAACACCTAAACATGAGATGTACCTTTTAACATTTTAAGAGCGATACATTATTGTTAACTATAGATATAATGTTGTACAATAGATCTTTGAGATTTATTTTGCTTGACTGAAACTTTATACCTGCTGGTTAAGAATTTCTCATTTCCCTCCTCTGTTAGTCTTTGTTAACCAGCATTCTCCAATTCTATGAATTTGGCTATTTAGATACCCCATATAAGTAGAATCCTGCAGTATTTCTGACTGGCTTATTTCAATTAGCAAAATGTCTTTAGGATGCATTTATATTGTTATATGTTGTGAAATTTCCTGCTTTTTAAAGGCCAGATTATGTTCCACTATATGTATGTCCCATTTTGTTTTCCATTCATCTGTCAGTGGACAGTTAGTTGTTTCTTCACCTTGGCTATAGTGCTGCTATGAACCTGAAAGTGTTAATGTCTCTTATAAGTAATAGAGGAGAGATGACAGAAAGCTAGGAAATAGTTTAGAGGTTGAGAAGGGGAGGAAGACACGAATGGAAAGGAAAATAATCAAAATATGTCGTATGTATGTACCAGTATACCAAAATGAATCTCATTCTATATTACTAATATCCATTAATAACAAAAATTCTGATTTCAGTTCTTTTGGAAATATACCCAGTAGTGGGATTGCTAGATGATGTGGTAGTTCTATTTTTATTTTTCGAAGAACCTCCATCCTATTTTCTGTAGTGACAACACCATTTTGCATTCCTACCAGCAGTGAGCAAGAGTTGAAATTTCTCCAGATCCTCAGCAGCACTTGTTTTTTGGTTTTTTGATAACTGCTATTCTGACAGGTGTGAAGTGATACTTTATTGTGGTTTTGATTTGCATTCCCTTGGTGATTACGGATTTTGAACATTTTTATAAAAACTTTTTTGCCATTTTTATGCATTCTTTGGAAAAATACTTATCCAAGTACTTACCCCATCAGTTTTTTGTTTGTTTGTTTTGGGTTTTTTGTTTTGTTTTTTGAGACAGGGTCTCACTGTGTAGTTGAGACTGACTGGAACTCACACTGATCCTCCTGCCTCAGCCTCCCAAGTGCTGGGATTATAGGCGTGCACCACCACGCCTGGCCCATCAGTTATTTAATGATTTGAGTTGTAGGCATTCCTTATGTATTGGAGATTAACCCCTTACTACAGACATTTTGAAAATATTTTCTGCTGTTCTCTAGGTTACCTTTTTACTCTGTTGTTTGTTTCTTTTGCTGTGTAAAAGCTTTTTAGTTTGTGCAGTCATATTTGTTATGTGCTGAGCATAAAAACATAAACATATGTTGAGCAAGTAAAGTGGTAAGCATGGTTATCTATTCAAGTAATTTTACTCTTCTTTCAGTGGTTACAGAGAGTTCCATCACCAAATTATTTTATTTAAAAAAATTTTTCTACCTCTACCTTTCTGGCCTTTTAAAAAAAAAAAAGTGTTGATTTTGATAATTAGTTTTAATTGCAGAAATTACTATTTTGAGTTAAGGAAATGACTGGTGATTGTTTTTTCTCCTTCAGTGTTTTGGACTAGATCTTTATAGTATCACTTTGTTTGGTATGTGCTATATAATAAATATATAAGAAAACCAACAACATAAAATGAGAACAGAACTTTGAAGTAGCTATTTTGTCTTGTTTTTATCACATTAATGATTGACTTTTCTATTATATGGGAAATATATGTGACCTAATTTTTGTCTTGTGTTTCAACAGAAGGTGATTATATTAAAATGTTTATGCGAGGTCGGCCAATTACAATGTTTATTCCTTCTGATGTTGACAACTATGATGACATCAGAACAGAGCTGCCTCCCGAGAAGCTCAAACTGGAGTGGGTGTATCCTTTACTGCCATAAGAGCAAATGTATTGGCTTGATCTCTAGTCTAAGAACAATTAGCTTGCCTAATCTATTAAAGTTATCTTTATACCAAAAGTAAAAGGAAACATCATCTCTTAAGTCTTCCACATATTGTGTGTATTTTGCTATTAGCAATTTAAAGTCATGAAATTAATTCCAAAAGGGGAAGAGGTATTCCAGCAGTTTGCAGCAGATTCTGGTGGTATGGTAGAAAAGGCACTGAACTGGAATTAAAGCACTTGTGTTTCAGTTTTGACTACCACTTACCCCTCTATGAACTTCTAATTTTCTTCATTGATGAAAGAGGTTAGAAGATCCCTACCTCACAAGGGTATTGTTCAAATTTAATAAGAAAACATTGGTTAAGCATTTTACAAGCTGTGGAACTATGTGTGATAACACATTTTATTAACAGATTAAATTAAGGTTTCTTTTATTATTTTTTATCTTTATAAAGCAGAAAAAGTACTTTATTATAAAGTAGGTAACCAAATACCATGATGAAAGTGAAAATCCTAAAAGCTAGCATTTTTAATGTTTCAGAATATATAGTTTGAAAGTCAACTAGAAAAATCATAATAACTAGGGAATTTTACGTCTTGAACAGATGAAGAAGTTAAGATATTAAAGCGAAATTACTGATTCAGGTAATACAAGAAAATAATTCAGACATCCCAAACTTAGATTCACTTCATTTCTAACCACATCACTTGAGCAACAAGATTTGTTTTAATTCCAAAATTATTCTCTGCAGAATGTTTTCTTTAAAATTACTAAATCAGAGTTTTCCTGATATCACTTGGAAATTCTCACATCTCTTAGAACCTCTTCAGGAACTCAGTAAAGCAGAAAACAGTTAATAGTATGAATTCTGCCTGTACTTCCATTCTCCTACATTTCCTCCTCAACCCCCTGAATTCCTTTTGTTACAACTTCTTTTATTTTATTTTAAACTTTTTTCTGTTACAGGGAATCGAACTTAGTATCTTGCACCTGTGAGGCAGGTGTGGCACCACTGAGCTATATCCCTGGCCCATGTTCCAACTTTTTTTTTGGTACTGAGTTTCAAACTCAGGACCTCACACTTGCCGGGCAGGCGCTGTGCTGATGTTACAACTTCTTTTTATTTTTTAAATTTTACTTATTAATTTTATTTATTTATTTTTGATGCGGGGGATTGAACTCGGGTCCTCGCACTTGTGAGTCAAGCAGCAGCATCACTGAGCTAAACTCCTGTCCTTGTTAAACTTCTTTTTGATTAAGCATTGCACCTACTAATCCATGCCTGACTATACCATATTCATAATTTTAGATTCTGCATAAATGTCACTTTTTCACATGATCCATCTTTTGCTTCCTCCTATTCTCTATAATTGGTCTTCTATTTATGCTTTATCCTGACTTCCTGTAATTTTTCTTTCCATGTTTATAATTTTATATTTGGTGATGATTTCTGTTTTCCAGAGCATAAACTCCAAAGACATAACTTTGTTCAAATCTGTATGTTTAGCATAGTGTGATGACACATATCTATCACCCCAGCACTTGGGAGGCTAAGGCAGAAAGATAATGAGTTTTAGGCTAGTCTGGACACCATAGAGAGTTCAAGGCCATCTGGACTATATAGCAAAATACTTCCTTTTTTTAAAAAATAAAAACTGTATGTTCAACATTGTACCTAATACATCCCAGGCACTCAATACATAATGAAAGAGGAAACTCAGACTTAAGCAGTAAATAAATCAAGGCTGTGCGAAGGTAATGACAGAATGTGACTTTTCTAGTTCTAGTCCAGTCCTCTGTTCATTATATCTTCTCCATTTCCTAAACCCCCTTGAAAAAAATTTGTTCAGTACCTTAAATACTGTGTTTGTTTGTTTGTTTGTTTGTTTTGTTTTGTTTTTTGGTATTGGGGATCGAACTCAAGTCCTTGTGCTTGCGAGGCAGAAATACTGTATTTTTTAAAAACCTTGACTCTTCATCTTTTAAGATATGGTTATCGAGGCAAGGATTGTCGAGCTAATGTTTACCTTCTTCCTACGGGGGAAATAGTTTATTTCATTGCATCAATCGTAGTACTATTTAATTATGAGGAGAGAACACAGCGACACTACCTGGGTCACACAGACTGCGTGAAATGGTTGGTATCATTTAACATTTGTCACTTTTCTTTTGTGCTCTCATTTTGTTGAATTTGGGTTGTGTTAAAAATTTCTTGTGGAGAGCTCAGATTGTAAACATATTATGGGTATTATGTAAATACATATTGAAATGAAAAAATAACTTAGACTCCTTAAATGTGGTCCATATATCAGCTGCAATAAAATACACCAAATAACTCTTCAAGTTGAAATTTCTGCTTTCTCCAATCCTTTTAACCCTTTTCTTCAGGTCTGTATTTCATATATGTGGGACAGACTACATATTTACAGATTTCGTCTTTTTTTGCTTAAAAATCATTATTTTCCAACATGTGTTTTAAGAGCTTTGCTCCTTTGTGACTATACTATTCTGACAACTATAGACAAAAACTAGCATATAATGATTAGGATATTATGTAAATATTGTTGAACTTTTAAGAATATTGAAAATGTTTTATTTTCACTGTACAATAATATATGTAGAAGGTGGGCATGGTGGCTCATGCCTGTAATTCCAGCACTTGGGAGGCTGAGGCAGGAGGATCGCTGTGAGTTCGAGGTCAGTCTCACTACATAGTGAGACCCTGTCTCAAAAAAAACAAAAAAAAATTAATAATAATATGTAAAAAATTATTGGAATGTTGATACAGTAAAGGTTAGAAACAACCTGTCATTCAGTCAAAGGCTAGTGAGGTCGTGGTATAGGTTACCAGCTGTAAAAAAGAATGAGGAAATATTGTACATATTAGTATGGAAAGGTCCCTAAAATATACTTCCAGGTACAAATATTAAAGAGAAAGAGAATATGCATATGTTCTACCACTTGTGTGAAAAGGAAATGGAAGCCAGGTACGGTGCCACATGCCTGTAATTCAAGTCAAGAGTTGAACCCAATCTGAACATCACAGTGATGTAGTGTCTCCAAAATAGAGAGAGAGATGGAAAATATTCTTCTTGGCTTCCACAAATGTAAAACTTTTCTAGAATTAATAATAAGAAACTAATTACAGTGGATAATGTTCTAGTAGGATAATGTTCAACTTAGCAAAATTATATAGCTGAAAACTTAGAAATCTTCAGATAATTGATGTTTATTTTTCTAAAAAAATAAAATAGGTCAGAGTGAGTTTTATTATGACTAAAAATTGTTTGGAAAAATTGTTGATACACGGGTACATTTCTGCCATTTCACATTTCCTGTATTTTTAAAATGATTGTTAATACTGCTTTTTAGCCTTGCTATACATCCTGACAAAATTAGGATCGCAACTGGACAGATAGCTGGAGTGGATAAAGATGGAAGGGTGAGCAGCAGTTTTATGCATTCTATACCTAGTGATAATGCTGTTAGACTACACTTGATTGTGATTTTTTTTAACCACAACTTATTTTAAAATTTACTGAAGGAAATTTAGTATAAGCAGGGGAAAAAATATCTTAGAATGTTAGAATGTTTCAAAAGAGAATCATACTACTGAAATACTTCTTTTCTAAATAATAGGTATTCTCCCTATTATAAACTACTGATAAAAATGAAAGAACCAATATATGCTTTTTAGATTTTTCTTGATGCAGAATGTTGCCACTGTTTCTTAGAGGTACTACAGTGGCTGTTAGTTGATAGAACCTCTTGAGTTTATATATAAGAAGAGCCGAAAGTGTTTCGCTTATTTAATGTTATTAAATTGGTTTATATAACATTTCTTATTTCTAAGGTTAGCAGTGAATACTTTTAACTGATTATCGTGTGTGACTATACTCATGACATCTCTGGGTTCACTTTCTTTAAAGAAAAGGAGTATCTGGGATAGGTTTATATCAGATGGCTTTGAAGATATTTCCAGTTCTCAATATTCTATTTAAGAACTGTTTACTTAAGCAGCTTACTGGACACTGACTTTTTTTAAGTTATTATTTTCTCAAAGATAAAGTAATGCTAACAGCAAAATATCCAAGCCTCTGACACTGAAAGACCACTTGAACCTACAAGTTTGAGACCAGCCTAGCCAATTCAGCAACACCCCATCTCAGAACAAAGCCAAAAATGGGGGCAAAGTATTTAGTGCAGATGTGCCTGGATTAGAATTCTGACACTCCCCTTTAATAGCTGTATTTAAATCAAGTTATTTAAATCTCTATGGCAGTATCCTCATTTATTAAATGGTTATTATAATACCACCTGTTCATAAAAGTATGAGGCTTAAATGATTTCATATTATACGTGCTGCTTGTCATACCTAAAAGAGTACATAAAACTTAGTACATATTCAAATAATTTGCTATTATTACTTGGTTATTTCCTTATTTTCATGGTATGAGAAGAAAAAGAACCTATTCAGGATTTGTGGGAGCATGTCTAAATCTGGTAGTTAATTTTTCACTAAATGTTTTTCTATCCCTATTGCTATTTAAAGATGACAGATAGTTCCATATGGTAGTGGAATTATGTATTTACATCCATCTGGATACCAGTTATTCCCACTACCTTGTGTTTTTGCAGCCTCTACAACCCCATGTCCGAGTGTGGGATTCAGTTAGTCTCTCCACACTGCAAATTATTGGACTTGGAACTTTTGAGCGTGGAGTAGGATGCCTGGATTTTTCAAAAGCAGTAAGTAACAATTTTTAAAGACATAAACCCCCTGATCAAAGAAGCAGAAAAGAAATTAACCTCAATTTTGTGTGTGTCCATTGACAAATGAGATGTTGGGCCAGGGATTTAGTTCAGTGGTACTGCACCTGCCTTGCAAGAGCAAGGTCCTGAGTTTGATCCCCGGTACCAAAAAAAGAGAGAGAGATGTTAGCTGCTCTTAACATTAGCTGTTGCTAAATAGCTATTATTATACCCCGGGTACTAAATTTGATTTAGATGGGATCAAAATATCAAACTTAGACTTAATTTTGTTCTGTCTTGAGACACAGGATTCCAGTATAGTAGAAGGAAATGGCTGGTTATGTACAAATCATAGTCCATATTGAAATAAGCAGTATAACATGGTTTAACTTCAGCTTGAATTATAGATATATTTTATTAAAATTCAGACATTTAAAAAAATTTGGCTTTTCACAGTATCACATTGGAACAAAGGAAACAAACCTTTGTATTCCCTAAAATCATGAATTTTCAACTGATGACTGTGCCTTAAATTTTATCTAGCAGTGTCATCTAAAACTTGAAGCTTTATAATAAAAGCAAAGAAATTGAATTAAATGTGTCTCAAATGATTACAATAGGATGGGTTGTTTGCCCGTTTTATCCTCTTCTACCATGTTAAAACTTCTCTCTTTCTCTCCTTCCTGCTCCATAGCAGTGAACTTAAATGTTCCTTAATTTTGTTTCACTCTGCAATAAGGAATAACCAGGAATCTGTCTTCACTTTGGTCTTGATTATCTTTCTTGTCAGTTTTTTAAAAATCATACCAGTTTTGATTTAGAAGAGGTTAGGATGGCTTCTATCTCACCATGTCTAAAGTCTGCATTTTAACCTCAGATATTTATGTCCTTCCAAAGTTAACTTCATAATATGGACCAGTTCACTGTTCTGATTCTAAACCACCGACTGGCTGATCTGCCTCTTTCAAGAAGAATGAGTTCAAAGCCCTCTTTTGATATTCATGTTATTCTTACTTTTATATATTTGAAAGAAAATCATTCATATCTGAAATTTTCTTCTGTGATTTCTAAATTCCCAAGTAAACACTGGCCTTGTCAAAATAATGAAAATTATCACATACTGCAATAAATTTGGAAAATTCATTTATGGACAGTTTATTATCACCGTATTATTTATCCATTGCTACCTAACAAATTTGTAAAGAATGTGTATTTGGTTGTTCTGAAAGATGGAAGACATAAATATGTGTGTCTTCTAATGAGAAAAATATGATGGAGAATAAAAATTTGATCATATATGAAAAAAAACTTGAAGCTTTGTTCTCAGGGAAAAATACAGTGAGTCCAGATGTTGTTCAGAGCATTTTATTTTTTATTTGTATGTAATTATTTTTATAAAGTACTCACTCAGGGGATATTATTGTAGGATTTGTGTTTTTAAATTTCAAATTTAAATCCTTCTGGGGCAACCCATCTCTGGTCTCCCTTCTGTCACTTACACAGAAGCTATCTTTCTCTTAAGAAATTTTAAACATTTTTAAAAATGTTTTTTATTTATATTTACTTCTAGATTTTATTGGGCCTCATGCTTCAGAATATATTTGTGTATTTATAGTATCTCTTTAGTTCTTAGCTACCAATTCTGAATTATGGGAGTTTTTGTAGGACATGGAAGAAGGGACAAATAAATTTGAGTGAATGAGGAATTTTGCTGGCTTGAAAACACTGAATGTCCAGGGTTAAACAAAGAATTAGGAAAAAAATGAATTTACAAAAGAAAGGGACAAAAAGAAACTGCTGTTACCACTTTTTCCCCATAATAGCTCTATAGTAGAAACTAGTGTCCTGTTATTGATACCATTATTGCTGTATTAAAACTATCATGGGTTGCACCATACTCTGACTTTTCCTAATATAGAAAATCGTTCCAATACTAGCTAAGAGAAAGAGTGTGCTCTGCTCTTCCTCAGGACCTCTCACCATAAATGGTACTAGAGAAAAATGTTTAATATCATCTATAGTTCTATTTCTTGAACTGAGAAACTGAGAAATTATGTGAATGAGAATGATTCCAGGAAAATACATAGAATTCAGTTCTGTTTTTATCTTACTTATTCGTGTTATTATATGCCAGATGTCACAAAAATCTGAAATCAGCAAACTTTAAAATGGCCATTAATTTTATCTTATCCCATCAAATTATCATCAGGAGAAAATTTATTAAATTATGCATATTTTCCCAACCTATGTCATGGGAAAAACATCTTGAATATTCTAATAGCAAGAAGGAAGCAAAAGATGTGGAGGAACTAGGATATCTTCAAAACTAATTGCAAGTGCAAATAAAAGTGACTATATGGCAAGTGGAAATCAACACAGAGAGGGTAAAAATTAAAAAGAGAAATAAAGTGGAGGGCCGCTGCAAAATCCTGAGTTTAATCCCAATACCAGAAAACAAACAACAACCAAAAAAAAAAGATTTAAAGAATCTGTATACAGTATTTCTGAAGCAAATGTAGCTAGCTAGTATATTTTTTATGTTTCAAAGAACAACAAGCTTAAAAGAGTTTGGATTGCCTTATTATTGCCAGGTTTTTTGTGTTCCCCCATTCCCAACCGTAGATGGGACTCAGAACCCTGTGCCAAGCAGGTGCAGTGCCACTTCACTAAATCACCATTATTGCCAGTTTTAATAATAAGGTATTTCTTTAAAAGCCAATGTTACATAACCAGGAATTATTAAATGCCTTTAATTCCCTTTTCTTTAGGATTCAGGTATTCATTTATGTGTTATTGATGACTCCAATGACCATATGCTTACTGTGTGGGACTGGCAGAAAAAATCAAAAGGAGCAGAAATAAAGGTAAGTCAAAACCATTTTTAATAGGCTGTTTCTTTTATGGTACTTTTTTTTTTTTTTTTTTTTTTTTTTTT